AAGGAGTGACAGTCAAATAGCTCTGTCATGGATCGCAAGTGACAAACCACAACCTGTTTTCATTCGAAACAGAACCAAGGAGATAAATGAGTTTAACCAGAGTTACAGATACCTGCCTACAAAGCAGAACCCGGCTGACCTACTGACTAGAGGAATATCAACAAAAGAGCTGAAGTCCAGCAGAAAGTGGTGGAATGGTCCTGAGTTTCTGGCAAATACTGCAGATTGGCAACAAATCAAATACAACATGCATTCTGATGTTACAAATACTGAAAACACACTTCTACCTATTTCTGACATTGATGGAGCAGTTAACAACAACATACCTGACTTTGAAACAAATACCACTACCCGATACATCCATTAACAATGTAAACAAACCATTAACTAGATCAGACAAACAGAGTCCATTGACCTCTGATTATGAAACAACTTGTATGCATATGGGTCTAGGAAAAAAAATTGTCATTTGTCGCCGTGTCGTGGGGAAACCATATGCTGACCCAATTGCTGCTCCACTTCCTGGATATCACATACAAAAGTCTAACCCATTTGAAGTGACTGGAGTACAATAGAGATACCAAAGTGTACATTTACCTGTTTACCTGTGCCGCAACACAGGCAGTACATTTGGAACTTGTGCCAAACCTGACTACAAAGTCGTTTTTGAATGCATTCAAGTGTTTTTTTCGGCTAGACGTTCCTTACCAAGTCTTATGATTTCGGACAGTGCCACAACCTACATAGCTACCGGGGACCAAATCAAAACGCTTATGGATTCACCTGAAGTGAACAACTACCTGGCAGAAAAACCTGGCAATTTATTCCAAAGCGTGCGCCTTGGTATGGCGGATTTTGGGAACGCCTTATTGGACTAACTAAGACAACTATCTGGAAAGTCCTTGGGAATTCTTATGTGAATGACGACGAACTTGTCACAATTTTAACTCAGATAGAATCTGTGTTGAATGACAGACCCTTAACTTACATTTCCTCGGACAACAAAGATGATATTCCATTGACTCAGTCACATCTGTTAAATGGACGAGCATTAACCTCATTACCGGACAATAATGTCGCCACCGAGTATGTTGACCCCTCATACAATGTCAACAAACAATATGATCGTGTATCTGAAATAATGATGCACTTTTGGAAGAGATGGTCTAATGAGTACTTAACTGCACTGAGAGAGAGACACTCATCCTCAGGGATGAAATCCAATACAATACAGGTAGGAGATGTGGTACTCATACATCATGATGTGGAGAAACGTCAACACTGGAAGTTGGCCAGGGTAACCAAACTCAACTATGGCAATGATGGTATAGTACGATCAGCTGATGTCCTAACTGCAAATGGGATGACAAATAGACCCATTCAAAAGCTGATCCCTCTGGAGACGAACATAGGTACATCGAATGGCAGTTTGACTTGTTTAAAATGTATGTTCACTGGGATTATAGAACAACAGTTTGTAGTATTTCCACTGAATAGTTTTTCCACAATGCTTTTTTAAAATTTCACACTTTTAAAATGTCAATGCAGTTACTTTTTCCTTCTTGAAACAATGAATCCACATGATGCACTTTGAAGGTACCAGACCGGAACAATTGTTCCTGAATATTTCAAAGGAAATGACAAAATAGTCTGGGAGCTAAATAGTTTTGAAAGACCTGATTGAAGTTGAAAATGAAGCTGAGATAATTGCCATTTGTTTAAATTTACGCGAAACCATGAATATTGCTCTGCCTACCTTTTGGACACTGCCAAAACACCAAGAAAAGATTGAGTATCACAACCGGAACAACAATGTTTTTCAAAAAAATAATGAAATCTGCGCAAATCTATTTTGGTGAGCGTTTTTGTTTTGTTTTGCGGAGTTGGCAAAACAGTGCCCGGGGTAAAATCCGACTCCCAGATGTCCTAATAAAAATAAAGTAATGTTAATAGGTCTATTGTGCATCATAATATTATTGTCTCCGTAATTTCTGGGGAAAATGTTTTATTGTTGCTCCTCTGACAGGCGTTTGATGGGAAATGCAAAGCATTTCACGCATATTACATTTATACACAATATTTATTAATAATAACGGCTAACAGAAATTCTTGTTCAGTCGTCTCCACGCTATTTAAAGCCAAAATGACGATATGGCTTGGCTTTTGTATGGGTGAGCAGAAATTGCCTGGGGAAATTAGTGGCGGAAGTCCAACAAAACTTGACAATTTAATGAGCGCATGTCTTACTTTGCCAGTTGCTCTCATTCCCAGAATTTTCTTTCTGTTGATCTCGAAATGTTTTTCATTTTGTTTTGAAGAATTCATCTCCACAGCTCGACGACAGTCGCCATTCAAACAGTCGCCTTGTCGTGTCTATTCATGCTGGGTCAAAGTGTCTTTCCCCTCAGAGGACACAGGTCGCGGTTTTCGTTCAGGAACATAAGGTTGATTTTTTTCAGGACTTGTTCTTCTATTATCATTATGGCCCACTTTTTTCGCCGAGGCAGAAATTGGCATATCTGTTTCCTCTGTTGTACCGATCTATGATCCCGGGTCTGTTTCATACTCTGAGTCGGACTGGGAGTCATGGAGCTGTCACTTTCGGTATAGTATGCATCAAAAATTGCGTCTTCTCTTTGGTTATGATAGGAACCATGGTTTGATTCCTTCAATAACTTTTTTTTTCTCTGACATAGTGTCCATCTTTCTTTTTTCGGATCTCTTCTCTTTTTCACTCCGCGTGGCATTGTTGTGTATAATAAATAAATCTTGAAATGTAAAATAGCTGATGTATTGTGTACAAATGGCGTTTGTGAAATGAAGTACACAGGAAACGAAACTGGTCTTCCCGAAACATGATTTGCATAATACTGTTAAGCGCCAAAAATCAATCAACATTAATAAAGCAAGATTTATGCAAATTAAACACTTAAAGTAAGACAATTGCACATATGTTTGTTTTTAATAATTTAAACCTAGTTTATTAGGTGTTCTACTCGCAATAGAATTTTAAAATTTTCACTCAAGAACAAGGACGTTTTCTGCTATATAAAAAGTAAAAAAAAAGTGAAATTTCACCTCAAAATAATTGTTTCCCTGCAATGCCACCTTAAATATGTCCTACCGGTATTTGTTCACCATGTACCGCCAAAATTAATAGCACTTGGGAGTTCCTTTCTAAGCTTCCTTCTATATATATATTGTTTCAACAGCCACAACAGTTTTATCAAGAAAAACAAAAAAAATAAGACATGAAGAGCATTTCCCTAAAGCAAAGAACTCATTCACTGTTTGCGATGTCATGTCACCAGTTATCAGTGCTGGTAAGTACCTAATCTTGTAAAATGATTATAATAGATTGTGTCACTGATTTGACCACATAGTTGTCATATTTGAATACATAGGACACCATTTTTACATGTGTTTATTGGCAATACTTGTCATGTTTTATTTAGCTCCGCTGTTGACAAAGTCGACAAAGCAAAGCTGTTCATATTGATGATTGTCCCTCGTCGTCTGTCTCATCAACTTCACAATTTCAACTTCTTCTTCAAAATCGCAAGTCAGAATGTTTTCAAATTTGATATGCAAGTACCTTGGATGGTTTTTTCTCAGATTTGTTCATTTGATGTCAAAATCTTAAAATTCTATTTGTCTATTTGAAATTTTTAGCTCCGCTGTCGACTTTGTCGAGCGGAGCTTATCATATGAGTGATTGTCCATCGCCCATGTCAATGTTTTACTTTTTCGACTTCTTCTTGAAAACTACAAGCCTGAATGCTTTGATACTTGGTGTATATGTACCTTGGGTAGACCTCTCTTAGATTTGTTCATTTCATGATGATATCTTCAATTCTCTAATTTTGGTGAATATTTTTGTCATTTTTGGTAAAAAGTGATATTTTCAACTTCTTGTTGAAAACCGCAAGTCCAATTGCTTTTATATTACATATATAGGTATTACATGTGGACCTTGTTAATTTCAAGGTGATATCTTCAATTACTTAATTTTGATGATTATTTTTGTGCCTAGTACTTTATGTGGGACATATACACATGCAGTGGTTTAGCGATTCGATTCAAATGGCAGTCATCTTGCTTTTTGAAAATGTTGTATTTTGGACATGCTTTGTCAGTTTTCATTCAAACTTGGTACATAGATTATACATGTTAGGATACATGTCCATGACGATTTATTTCACAATTGGATCAAAGATGGCCGACTGGCAGCCATCTTGTTTTTTGAAAATGTCGTATTTTGGACATGCTTTGTCAGTTTTCATTCAAACTTGGTGCATAGATTATACATGTTAGGATACATGTCCATGACGATTTATTTCACAATTGGATCAAAGATGGCCGACTGGCAGCCCTCTTGTTTTTTGAAAATGTTGTATTTTGGACATGCTTTGTGAGTTTTCATTCAAATTTTGTGCATAGATCATACATGTTAGGATACATGTCCCCGACCGTCCGTGAGTTCCTGAGTCTGTCCGTCCGTCCATGTGACCGTCCGTCTGTCAGTCTGTCCAGAGTCATATTTCGAAATCCTGTGGACCAATTCCGTTCATTCTTTGCACGTGCCTAGTACCTTATGTGGGACATATGCACATGCAGTGGTTTAGCGATTCGATTCAAAATGGCCGACTGGCAGCCATCTTGTTTTTCGAAAACGTTGTATTTTGGACATGCTTTGTCAGTTGTCATTCAAACTTGGTACATAGATTATACATGTTAGGATACATGTCCATGACCATTTATTTCGCAATTGGTTCAAAGATGGTCGACTGGCAGGCATCTTGTTTTGTTGACTCCCGTGTGCGAAGCACAAAAAGGGAGTCTTTGCAGTTACCCTGTCTGTATGTCTGTATGTATGTCTGTATGTCTGTATGTCTGTATGTATGTATGTATGTCACTTTTTTTGTTCCACCGTTATCTCAAGAACCACTAATCAAATTTTGGTGAAACTTGGTACATATATGCGCTGGGATAATGCGCAGTTGATTATAGGTTTGGGTA